AGTCAAACAAAATTTTGGCCCAAATTTGTCCAATAGTTTCAAAAGTAGGTCATAAGTGTCTTATTTAAAAAATGGGGCTAGAACTGTCACTTACGTCAAACTTCAGACCAAACAAGGGTATTAACCCTTTTTTTTATAGTAAGCGGGTATTAGATACTGTAATCATTAACTTTGTAATTTTTAGATTTCCCTTTTAAGTTGTAGTTTACATCAATTAATGATAGCTTTTGCTTCTTGAAATAAATTATTTTTTTCTTTTTCTAATTTATAGTAAATATAATGTGAAAAATATTTTATATGGTTATAACAAAACAAAATTAGTCTAAAAATAGATTTTTAAACCTAAATATTTTGATTATTAGTATTTTTTTAAGTCTTTTGCGGTAATGTATTATGAAATCCGGCCCCCTCGAGCAATAACTACTAGCTCCGCCCCTGAATTGATATGTTTGGAATTGAGTCATTGGTTGGTTTTGAAGCAACTAGTTAGTCTCCGACAATCATTCATATAAACTTGACACAGAAGGGATTCATTCACTAGTTAAAACTACAAAACTACTTAAAGTGAAGTCAAACATGCAAGTTTTATTTTCAAAAGGCAAGGAAATGCAAACCGGTTGTTGGGGGTACCTCCTAACTAGTGCGTCTTTCAAGTCTTATCGTCGGACAATTAACTTCAAGTAGTCGGTCCAACTTAGAACCTCCTTGAAGTTGAAGTTCTCGTCGGTGAGGTGGTGTCTCAAGTCCTGAGCGTTGGATGCTTCTAATGATATGGACGACTCTTGGACTTGGTGAGAATTGTGTCTCCACCCACGAGACCTCTTCTTCTTTTCTTCATCTCTCTCCTCTTTGCCCCACACCATGTTGTGCAAAATCGATTGACTTCCATCGCATTCACCAAGAGGGATCACCGATGGTTTGGCTTGGCAAAGAGCCGCAAATGGGTCCTTTTCAAAAAGTGCATTGAGGTCAAGTGGAAAGCTTTGGGAGCCCATATAACTTGTATAAGCTTCATCCACTTCGACCTTGTCCAATGTTCGGACTCCAATTGCGTCTTTAACTTCCTCTCTTTCTTGTGAATAATCTTCTCTGTGTCGAGTACCAAGTTTTTCCTCTTTTTCACTTTCTCCTTCCCTCTCCCTCACAACCTCATCAATGCTCCCTTCTTTAATACTCTCTTCTTGATGACTAGGAGCAATGATGGCTTCACAAGCAAGTTCTTCAATAGATGGAACTTCAAGGCCCTCTTGCTAATCTACCCTTGAGACTTCTTCCTCTTCTACTACTTCCTCTTTTTCTTCATTCTTGATGTCGAAGAGGTGCTCTTGATTGAGTCTCGAGCAAAGTTTCTCAATAACTCTTTCGTTCTTCTCTATCCTGTTGAGCATCTCTTCTTGTTCCTTGAGGAAGTCTTGAGTAGAAGGGTCGGGACTTTCCTTGATGCAAGATATCCCTACGTTCCCCACCTCTTGGAGTTACTCTCTCTACTTTGACATCCTTAATCCGAAAACAACACAGAGGAAGGTTGGGATCGCTAGCATCTAGGCACTCCGTTGGGATGTTGTAGCGTTCAAATGCTAACTCTCCAAGGATATCTGGTGTAGGTGGGGGTGAATGATGAAGAGAACTCCCACTCCCGGCCATGAGTTTTTCTAACTCGAGATCGAAGAGGCTCTTTGGTTCCGAGGTTGGAGTTGAGTGAGTTGTCTCAAGGCCATCTAGATATAGAGTATATGCCTCAAGTCGCTCAATGGTCATCTCTAACTCGGTCTTCACCATAGGTTGTGGAGGTGGTTCTTGGTATGATGGGTGAGATGCTTGGTAATCATGGAGGTACAGTTGATAGGCATGGAGAGGTGGTTGTTCTTAAAACCGGGATCCTTGGCTAGCCTCGCTACCAGAAGCTTCGAGATACCACCAATTCAGCGGTTGGTGGTCTCCCCACTCCTCGTTCCAACCATATGGATCCATTATTCACAAACTGCAAACAACAAAAACACTAAAATGAAAATCAAACACATACAACCACCCTTCGGGGAGAAGAGTGGGTGAACAACAAAGCACGAAAAAAAACACATAAAAACACAAACAAGAACGCAAAATAAAACAAAACACACAAAACAATATAAAGACTAACTAACAACTAAATAGTTTTCTACTAATTACCAAGTTTCCTTGGCAACGGCGCCAAAAAGCTTGATCACTTGAATCCGTGCATGTTATGTCAATGGTTTGCACGTATCAACAAATATCCCATCCTAAGTCAAGTTTAACCTAGGATGGCACTGTCGTATAGTGGTAATCAAGGTTGTATTCTACTCGGGTCCTGGTACCCTAGCCTACTTCCCACCTAGTTGTTAATTAGGTATCGTTTTTTGAGGTTTTGAGTGGAGGATATGAGGAAACACTTGACTAGAGGTTGATCAAAGCTAAAAGCAGGTACTTCGGGGAACTAATCCTCCCCCTAGCTTTGGGATACTATGAATGTATAGATACTTAGGGTTATCGAATGTGGTGAGTGAGCTCTTTTCCATGGGCCTTCGTCGTTATCCACACGCCTCCGAGTACGCCTCCCCTAAACCCATGTTTCAGTCACCTCGATCTAGGCTATCGTATCTGGAGCATTAAGCTTATGGCTCATTTCAGTGGACACTATCCACCATCCACCATCCACACTGAGGTTTCACCCCGGGGTTCATCTAGGAAGGCTACCTATAGCAGGGGTTCGGTCGCCTCGACCACTATAGGCCCCCATTCACTCATCTAACATAAAGTCGCTAGATGGCGCATACCAGCCTAACCCTAGAACTCCGTACCCAATGCGGTAGCATAAAGCAGGCTAAGAGAGAATATTGGGGCCAGTTGCCCAAAAGTCATCATTTAGGAAAGAGTGACATTACGAATCTACTAGACAAACACATTAATTCATTCAAACCCTAAAATATCCATAGATACATAATAAATCCTAAAATTAGGGTTTGGGGTTTAGAACCCCTAGTACCTTGGAGGACTACTCCATAAAGGAGACGAGAAGATACATGGTAGAAATAGAAGAAGACTTAAAGTTAGGGAAGATCCTCCTTGCTCCTAGCTCCTCCTTCTTATCCTTCTCTCCTTCTCCCTTCAGCTTCTCTCTCTCCTCTCCCTAGATCAAGAAGTTTCACTCAAAATCTTTTCTCTTAAAATGGGAAAAGGGGTCTTCTATTTATAGGCATTTTGGACTCGGGGAAGTTCGCGACCTGAGGCTGGGAGATTGCGGGCGCGATCTTCTGATGATAGGCTGCGATCTCAAGACGACGTTGTCATGGACTTCTAAAGGGGGAAGATCACGGGTTGACTTCGAGGTCGCGATTCTCGAGTCGTGACTGTGATCTTCCTCACGGGCAAGTTGAACGTTGGCCGTGACGCGACTGGGGAAATTCTCTACTTCTCCAAGGCTCCTTCTTTGCGAAGTTCGCGCCCTTGGCCTTTTTGATCGCGATCTTTGGCTTCCGGGCCGCGATCTTCATCGAGTTTTCACGACTGGAAATCTCGACCGTGATTTTTGGCTTTTAGGCCATGATCTTTTATCCTTATCCCTTTTCTACACTTGTGGCCTTGTTTTGTACCTAATTTGCACATATTGACTAATACACCCTATAATCACATCAAAATCAAATAGGAACAAAATAGGGATGTGTTTGACAATGTGTAAACGCTTAAGCACATGAATTGACACAAAACATAGCCTAATATGGAGGGTAAATAACACTAATTTTGGTGTTATCATGAATCCGCGCTTTGATATTGATCCACCCACAAATAATCCAAGCCGCATGCCGACAGTGGTTAGTGATTGATGTGGGTGGGTCGTGGATTTAAAATTTCCAATCCGCACTTACCCTTGTGCGTGGTGCATGGGTTATGGATCACCTAAATGACACACGACCAGCGGCGGATCTAGGGGGACCGCCCCCCCCGGCCGCGACCCAGCCCTCCTCTAGATCAAAACTCGTATAACACTTGTAATTTTTTTTATTTTTGGTGTTCGTTTAAATATTCGTCGAGCTACGTCCCAACCCACTCTTCCTATTTTCAAAATGCGGCCAGTGCTTTACCCAGTCCTGAATCTGCCGCTGCCCGCTGCACACGACCCATTTTCACATGACAAATAGTTGTTCATATTATCAAATAATCATCATATTTTCTAACTCCGCCATACATTGATCATCTAGCTACTACTATTGGTTACTATGTTTTGTAATGTCCCTTAAATATTGAGACAAATTATAAATCGTTTGTTGTATCGAATTAATAAAGAGGGTCTTTTCTCTAAGAAGTGAAATCTACACCAATAAACAACCTTGATTTTTAGGAATATGTGGTTAGTGACTTTGTTTTATTTGTCAACGAATACTTCATTTTATGTGTCCAAATGAAAATTCGATTTGAGTAATAAATTTTTTTATATGTCACCAGTACTAGACTGATTTACAAGTGATAAAATGAACAATATTCAAATTGTTAGAGCAGCTGCATCGGCTGTCTCTTCTCCATTTCAAAGTGACATGGCAATGTCATTTGCCATTTCATGGTTGTAGCAACCCATTTCAATAATGAAATATTTCATTAGATGAAAGAGCAAATGAAATTGCAAGTGGGGTAGCAAGCGGGCCCATTTCAATTGGTTAGAGTGTATAATTATTTAGTTATATTGTTTATATGAATCGGGCCCACCATATGAAATTGGAGATAGATTTCATGGATGTAGATGAAATGGATGTTAAAGAATGAAATTGTAAAAAGTGTATAGGTGGCAGTAGGGGCCACAAATGAAATAGGTAGGCTATTTCATGGTTGTTGATGGTTTTAGTATCTTTCAAATGACGACGAATGTAAGATAAATATAAGTCAACTTGTCAATGATAAGTGGGAGATTGTTCATTGTTGAGATTAGACATCGATAGATCTTTGATAATTTGATCCGAATCTATTATTGGGCTTTCCCAAGCCACAGAGCCCTTTCTCTGGGCACTGTTGCTTATGAGCCCTGAGCTCTTCAGAGGCCCAAAGTTGATTGAAGCGGAAGAAAACAGAACGCCGAGCGCTGCGGCCGGCTATCGGCGGAGTTCAGTGAAGCTAGAGCTTGCGAAGGCAGCAGCAGCAATGGAGGTTCAACCCAAGAGCTCTCGCAAGGAGAAGAAAGCAAAACGACAAGAGGTATAACCCCCAAATCTTATGAACTAGCAGCAATTTGACGATTCCGCCTTTTCCATTCTTCATTTTCGGCAGCCGCCCTGTTATTTCTTCACATGATTCCTTCGTTTTTACTTCGTAGGTTCTGGAAAGGAAGAAGAAAATCGATAAATTGATACAAGCAGCTTCTTCCGAGCACGACCATCTCTCTTCTTTCCCTCCCTTCCGCCGTTTCGACAGAAATGGTAATGGTTCTCGCCCAATTCCTCTTTGTAATCGCCGCCCATTCATTATTGAAAGACTTTTTTTATGCAGGATTGTGTGTTGTTTTGGAGTCTGGAAATGGCGATAAGCTCTCTGCTGCTCTAAAGCAATACATTCAGAATCTCCTCAAAGTAGAACTCGTTCCCATTCCTACGAATGATTGCTTTCTGGGTTTTTCTTTCATTGTGATAAAAATGATTCCTTTTCGTTTTGAATTTGGGAAGGTGAACATGGAGGGTCCATTTGGGGAAGAATGGCCAGAGGAAGAGAAAGTCAAGCGCAGAGAAATGGTGTCTCCAGAAGCACGTTATATCTTCGTTAAGGAAGAATCCCCTGAGGCTGATAATGATAAAACTGCTGCCTTTGTAGGCTTTGTTCATTTCAGGTTAACTCTGGAGGAAGAGATACCTGTTCTCTATGTTTATGAGATTCAGCTCGAGTCTCGTATTCAAGGCAAAGGCCTGGGGAAGTTCTTGATGCAACTCGTTGAGCTTATTGCTCGTAAGGTGTTAATTGTTGCTCTCTAAGTTCTGGTTTTGCTTTTCTTATGCAGTATATAATATATGGGAACTTGATATTGAAATTATTTTCTTTCTGTTCTTCTGTAGAGCTGTATGAGTGCTGTAGTGTTAACAGTTCAGAAAGCCAATGTTGCAGCTATGAATTTCTACACGAGCAAGTTGAGGTGAAAGTTTCATTTGAGATTCCTCATCTATTGCCGAATCAGAAGTTTAGGTGAACGTTCTCGTGTTTTGTTGATCAGTTAAATGATTCCAGGTTTTTACTTGCAGATACACAATATCAAGCATTTCACCATCACGAGTTGATCCCCTGGTACGAACTTAACTTCGTTCCCTAATCTGTGACTCATAGATGCTCAAAGGTTTTATCTTCACTTGTGCATTTCTCTGCAGATGGGAGCTGAAAAGAGTTACGAGATTCTCTGCAAAGCATTTGATCGTGAAGCCAAGGTTGCACTGGAGGTAACAGCTTGTTTAATGATTTTTTTTTAATTTTTATCCACTTGTTTGCCCTCAAATCTCAGGTTACCCATTTGGTGGTTCTTACCTCGTTTTAGGAGACTGCCTGAGCTGGGAGGAGGATGCCTCAAGCCTTCAGGCACAAGTCAAAGGTCCCCGTTGAGAGGTTGCACTCGAACGAATTAAAACCAGACCTCGATCATCTCTTCGTTGCCCATGTCAATGTGTAGTCGTTGTAGAACAATGAATTGGTGGAGCCTGAATCTGGTGAGAACCCTTTACTGAGCAAGCTACATCATATATGGTTAGCATAGAAAAGAACAATTTTGAGCAGCAGCATGTACACCGTTCATTTATTCCGAAAGAGCAAAAGTGTATGCCTGCAACGAGGAAGATCGTTCATTCTTTCGTGAATGTCGTGCACTCGAGCTGGAGCAATCTTTTTACTACCTGGAAATGAGATGAACATTTCTTTTGTCAATCAATATTCAATTTCATTGTTAGGTAAGCTTCCATGTGAAGCCAGCAGCTAAGACATCGAATCAGAACTGGGATATAGGCAAGAATCCTGCTGTTACATTGTCCTACTCTCATGCTTAGTCAATTCAAATAATGCTTCAGCTGACTCAAACTCTTTTCCATTATGAGGAATATCCTTCACTTTTGATTGCCAATTCATACTCACTAAAAACCTGTTTCAACAAACTTGCAAACGTCTTAAAGAGGTTAAGAGTCTACTGTATTTGTGAAAAAACCATGAATCCATGATTCGGTTGATTGCCCATTTTCTGGTATGAGACGGAAGAATTCACATTAGGTGAGATGTTTGAACCAAATCATACACTTATTAGTGATAACCCACCAAATGGAATTAAATTTAGTTTGGCATATTAGTTGACTATACTTGTTCTTGTTCTTCATACATTTTTTAAGGTTATCAGAGATTTCGATCTTTGATATTGAGAACAAATTCAATTGTTGATATTGACAGGTTATCAGGATTCGAAAACTCAACGGTGTTTGGTTCATTACAGACTTTGATTGTTATTATTGAGAACAAATTCGTATCAGTACTAATGCGGTAATAGCAAAATCATCTAGCTAGTTACTGGCAATTATCAGCTGGAAAACCATTTTGCTAATACTTTTGAAGCTCTACTTTATTGGCTCCATGTCGCTACAACAAGTCCATGGCTCCATCCATCTTCCATCCCAATCTCTAGAAATCTCCATCTTTATGCATGTAAATGAATACAAATACTGAAATACGTAACTACTAGTTCCTTAATGAATGTTCAAATCAAGAAGGGACGATTGACAGTTATGACAATCTGATAAAAATTGAGATAAGAATTGAGCAATGGTCCATCTGCTCCATTAAATACTCGATAGAAACCAGTCTCCTCTACCCAAACCCTTCACTGAAACATAGACAAATGTACGAATCCCACTTCTTTTGGATATGAATGCGAGAACCTTTTGACAACCAAACATTCTTGCAAACCACATGTGAGAAAAAGTAGTGTCATTTTTTTCATCAGTTAGACTAATGATGATAAATACAAAAGCAACCCCCAACAAAGATGAATGGGTTCCTTTTTCAGATTATTGAAAGGCAAGCAGCAACAAAAACAGGGGAATAGATCTTTACCGCTGGCTGTACAAGGAAATTCAAAACCTTTTTCTGTAGCTGCGAGAACTGAGGGAGGTTGAAGATGGAATTCAAGGTTTCCTGAGATAGGAAGTGGAAGAAGGGTTATGTTGGTGACTGAACCACCATCGCCGTTTCAGAGATGGAACAGAGCTGCTAGAATTCTGATTGAAGGAAGAATTTCTCAATTGAAGAATGAATTAAATGTCCAGAGTTCAGCTTGTGAGGCTGAATTTATACTCTGGTTACAGAGTTCAACGGAGGGAAATACCGTTACAACAACCTATCTAATTTACAGTATTAGTCCTAGTTACAATCTACTATTACTAAACTAATCCTAAGCTACTTGGTTATTTACAGAGTGATCCCTATCATCTAATACCCCCCCGCAAGCTAAGCATGGATAGACTTCAGGTTTAGCTTGGATGTAAGGTCGATGAAGGTGTGGACAGGCAACGCTTTGGTGAATGGATCAGCCAGCTGGAGTGTGGTGGATATGTGTTGAACTTTCAGTTTCCCGGCAAGCACTTGGTCGCGAGTAAAATGGCAGTCGACTTCGATGTGTTTGGTACGTTCGTGCTGGACAGGATTCTCTGTCATTTTGACAGCAGAGAGACTGTCGCAATAGATGTTGTATGGAAGGGGAGGTTGGACTGGAAGTTGATGAAAAAGCGCCGTCATCCACTGAAGTTCTTGAGATGTATCCGCCAATGCCCTATACTCGGCTTCTGTGGAGGAGCGTGAAATTGTCTGTTGCTTCTTCGAGCGCCAGCTGATCAAGGAGTTCCCTAAAAATACACAAAAACCGGTCACTGATCGTCTAGTATCTGGGCATCCAGCCCAATCTGAATCCGAGAAGGCAGTAAGACGTGTAGAAGAGTTGGAAGGGAAAAATAATCCTCGGTCAGGAGTGGTTTTGAGGTATCGAAGGAGCCTGTGGGTGGCTAGTTCGTGTGCTGAAGTGGGAGAATCAACAAATTGACTTAGTTGGTTGACAGTATAGCATATATCAGGTCTTGTATTGCAAAGATATTGTAGTCGACCAATAAGTTTTCTGTAGCTGCTATGATCTTGGTCATTTAAAGGGGTACCATCCTTAGCAGAGAGATGAGTGGCAGGAATGGAAGGAGTAGTTGTAGGTTTAGAAGCTAGGAACCCAGTATCAGACAGCAAATCAAGTGTATATTTGCGTTGACATAAATGAATTCCAGATTCTGATCTTGAAACTTCCATTCCAAGGAAGTACTTTAATTTACCAAGATCCTTTATTGTGAAAGCAGTGTCTAATTGTTGTTTTACAAACTTGATTTCATCCATGTTGTTGCCAGTTAGTATAATGTCATCAACATATACTAGTAGAGCTGTGAATGATGAACCAGAGTACTTAGTGAATAGAGAATAATCACTGTGAGATTTCTGGTAGCCAAGGGTCTCTAAGGTTGCTGCAAGTTTTTCAAACCACTGTCTACTAGCTTGTTTTAAGCCATAAAGTGATTTTGTAAGTTTGCAAACCTTGTTTTGATCTGATGGGTGGACTTTCAAACCTGGAGGCAGTTTCATATACACATCCTCATGTAAATCACCATGTAGGAATGCTGTATTAACATCTAACTGCTCCAGATGCCATTTGTAAATGGAAGCTAATGCCAAAAGGATTCTGACAGTAGTCATTTTAACAACAGGTGAAAAAGTGTCCATGTAGTCTATACCAGGTGTCTGAGTGTATCCTTTAGCTACTAAACGTGCTTTGTACTTGTCTATTGTCCCATCCTGTTTGAATTTGAGTCTAAAGACCCATTTATTTCCAATTATGGGTACATTAGGAGGGGGGTCGACCAGAACCCATGTTTTTGTTTTCTCAAGAGAGGCAAATTCTGAGTTTACAGCTGCTAGCCATTCTTTGCTCTTAGCAGCTTCTTTGTAGGTTTTTGGTTCCTTTACTTGAGTTATAGAAAGGGCAAAATGTCGATGAGATGGACTCAAAGATCGATATGTAAGCATTTGTTGAATAGGATAATTGACAGAGGAAATCAATGATGCTTGACTGATTAGATTACACTTGTAATCATTCAGCTTAGCAGGTCTGATAATAGGTCTAGTAGACCTTCTTAATTGAGGTTGATGCACAGGTAAGGAATCAGGGATTGTTGTTGGTGATACTGGAGCATCAGTAGGAAGAACTGATGGCAGTTGAGAGAGAACAGGAGATGGATTAATGGTGTGAGCTTTAGTAAATTCCAGGTCTGCAGATACTGCTGGAAAAACTGGAAGAGGAACTGAGGAGGTCAAATTTTGATTGACCTGTTGAAAAGGAAAAATAGTCTCATGGAAAGACACATCTCGTGATGTGAAAATGTTGTGTGTCACTAAATTGTATAATCTGTACCCTTTTGTACCAAGAGGATGCCCTAAGAAAACACAAGGGTTTGCTCTATGATCAAGTTTAGTTCTGATTGCTTGAATGGTTGCAGCATATGTAAGGCAGCCAAAAACTTTTAAATGTTTTAAAGTAGGTGAAGAACCAGTAAGCTTTTCAAAAGGGGTAAGATTGTTTAAAAGAGTGGTGGGAGTTCTGTTGATGAGATGAACAGCATGCATTGCTGCAAAATTCCAGAACTGTGTAGGCAGTGAGGCTTGAAAAAGCAAGGCTCTAGTAACTGCCAGTATGTGCTGATGCTTTCTCTCAACAATTCCATTTTGTTGAGAGGTATACACACAGGTGGTTTGATGGATAGTTCCTTTTGATTTGTAAAATTCTGGTATTTGGAACTCAAGACCATTATCTGTTCTTATGACTTTAATTTTGCTGTTGAACTGTGTTTCAACAAAAGCAAAAAAAGAAATAATAGTGGGACGAGCCTCAGACTTTGATTTCATAGTAAAGATCCAAGTATGTCTACTAAAGTCATCAACGATGGTCAAAAAGTATGAATGACCTTGAATTGAAGTGACTGGGGCATTTCCCCAAATGTCAACATGTACAACATCAAATGGAGCTGCTGTTTTGCTGAAACTAGTGGGAAATGGCAGTCTCTTCTGCTTTGCTTTAGGGCAAACTGTACAATGGTAATCAGGAAGAACAGAAATGGATTTATCTAAACTATGTAGAGTCTTGAGTTTAGTTGCTGGAATGTGACCAAGTCTGTAGTGCCAGATGTCAATGGAAGGCTGTGATGTTGAAAAAGCCACTGTAGGAGAAGAAGCTGGTAGTACTTGAGTTGTGTTAATGATCAGATTTTGTTGGAGTTGAGCAGTTTGAGATGGATGGTGTAGAATGTACAAACCATCAGCTAAGCTAGCTGTTCCAATCATTGTCAAACTGGGGTAGGCCTGAATAAAACACAAAGAGTAATGAAACCATAAGCATATGGTTGAGCTGCGTACTAGTTTACTAACTGAAACTAGATTAAACGTGAAAGAGGGAACAAGCAAAACATCATACAAAATCAGATGATCTGAATACTTGACAGTCCCTATGGCTGTGACAAGCACTTTATGGCCATTAGGCAAATGAACATAGGTGTTCTGTACTGGTTTGGAGTGTGAAAAATGGTGGGGAGAACAGATAATATGATCTGTAGCACCCGTTTCTAAAATCCACTTATTAGTAAGAGAACAATTCACATTCAAAACATAGTGAATGATACCTGACTGCTCAGTAGGTTCAAAACCGTGAGAAACAACAGAATTTGCTCTGCTGATTATGTTGTGCTGACCAGATCCCTCAATATCATTGGAAGCTGAATAATGAGCTGGATTATTAGCAGTGTATGCCTCCTGGAAAGTAGATGGAGGTGGAAAGAACTGCTGCTGAGTAGGAGCAGAAAATTGTGTTGATTGGATAGCATTCTGTGGTGTGGAAGAAGGCTGCTGAGAGTAAGGTTGCATAATGTGAAGCATCCTTTGATAGTTCTGCTGGAAACTCTGCCAGTCAGACTGATTGATCATTACTGCCCCATTAGAGGCCTGAGTGAAATCAGAAGAAACACTGTTGGCCTGTCTAGAAGGCTGTTGCTTCTTCTTAGATTGGTATCCAGGAGGATAACCATTCTTTTTGTAACATATGTCTTCTGTGTGGCCAGTGTATCCGCAGAAAGTACACACAGGCTTCTTGCCTGGCTTCTTGAAATTCTGACCAACACCCTGAACACCCAGATGCTGTCCAGCTGCTTTGGTAAAAAATGCCATACTATCTGAAGCAGGATTTTGAGCAGGCTGTGGTTTAGGAAGTAATCCATTTTCCCTTTCATGTTGTACCATCATAGCAAACACTTTGTTAATAGGAGGTAAAGGATCCAGCAGCATCACAGTGGATCGAGGACCATTGAAGCTATCATTGAGATTCCTCAAGAAACGGATAACCTTGTCATTCATGTGATCTTTACGCAGAGAAGCTAAAACACAGTGACAAGTAATTCCACATTCACAATCGGGGATAAACCTATAGTTGGCTAACTGATCCCACAAGGCTCTTTGCTTTGAGTAGTACTGAGAGACACTAAGAGTACCTTGCTTGAGATTGAAAATGGCTTCTTGAAGATCCGCAATCCTGAAAGAATCGCCTTGGGAGAATTGCTCTCGTAACTCTGTCCAAGCACCGATAGCAGTGGTCACGTAGAGGATGCTTTCAGCAATAGTGGGATTCACAGATCGTTGAATCCAGCTGAGCAGAAGCTTGTTATTGCGATTCCAGGGCTCCAACAGAGGGGAATCATCACTTGGCTGCGGGATTTTGCCATTCAAGAACCCTAATTTGTTCTTGCCATCGATGACAAGAATCATGGAGCGCTCCCAACTCGAGAAATTATTCTCAGTAAGTGGTTGAGAAACGAGACATTGCCCCCAATTCTCTGGGGGATGAATGAAGAACAGTGAGGCAGGATCGGAGATCGGAATGCCTTTGTACAGAACGCCATTGATGCCAATGGTGCGACCTCCAGTGTGAGGATTTGCAGGGTGGGCATCGTCGCCAGAAGAGGAAGAATCGTGAATCGCCATAGGAGAACGATTACGAGAAGGAGAAGATTCGGAAGCGAGAGAGTGAGACGAAATCGGCTCAGTTGAGCTCTGATACCATGCTAGAATTCTGATTGAAGGAAGAATTTCTCAATTGAAGAATGAATTAAATGTCCAGAGTTCAGCTTGTGAGGCTGAATTTATACTCTGGTTACAGAGTTCAACGGAGGGAAATACCGTTACAACAACCTATCTAATTTACAGTATTAGTCCTAGTTACAATCTACTATTATTAAACTAATCCTAAGCTACTTGGTTATTTACAGAGTGATCCCTATCATCTAATAAGAGCTGCGAGGAAAAAAGAAGGCAGAGCTTTTTCATAGGGCTGCAGAGGAACCGCGAAAAACAACGGAGAACAGCGAAACGAAATATCAAAAAAACTTTGGGGCACTCAAATCAAAAAGCAAAACGCGATAACTATTCAACAAATACGAGGTGGCTAAATTTACCCGCTAAATTTTGTTCTTTCCCTCCCTTCTGCCGTTGCGGTAGAAATGGTATTTGTTCGCTCGCGCCTAATTCACTCCTCCCGCAGGAATTTGTGTGGTTCGACTGGAAAAATGGGGATAAACTTCCCGCTTCTGTAAAGCGAGCGTCCAGACCCTCCTCAAAGTAGAACTCTTTCCACTTCATTCGAATCAGCTGAAATGATTGGCTTCAAGGGTTTAATTTCTATGTGCTAAATGACCTATTTGTTATTCTGAATTTGGGAAGGCGAAATGGACGGGTCCAGTTGGGAAACAATGGCCTTCGAGCTCATTGCTCTTAGGGTGCTTATGGCCCCCCTTGAAAGTTTCGATCTTGTTGGAATTTGCGGTTGTATTGCTTTGTTGTGCTGAATGTGTGTGAAATTTAACCTTGGAAAAGGTTTTCTTTGTGTTCTTCTGTAGAGTTGCACATGACTGTAGTGGGTAACTGTTCAGAAAGCCAACGTTGCTGCTATAAGCTTCTACACAACCAAATGGAGGTAAACTTTCGATTGCGATTCCAACTTAGTTATTGTACATTGTAGAACATGGTGTTTCTTGGTTAGTTGATGATTGGGAGGTTCTTACTTGCAGATACACCATATCAAGCATTTCACACATCACGAGTTGATCCCTTGGTGAAACTTACCATGTTCATGAATGTTCAAAGGTTTTCACCCGACTTGTGCATTGTTCTGCAGATGGGTGCTGAGAAGAGCTCCAAGATTCTTTGCAAAGCATTCGAACATGAAGCCAAGGCTGCCCTCAGACTTTGTAACCTGAATTCGGTAGCATAGGGATAACAGCTTGAGCCGAGAATGGAAGAACGCTTTGGAAGGGGAAACAATCAATCATTTGTTACTCCCTGGTATGTTCTGCTGCATTTTTCCTAACTTCTGAGAATAACTCATTGTTCTGGTTTGGATTGGATGTATCGAGCTTGTGCTTTAGACAGATTGCCTACTATATTGTTCAAAACTCGCTAAGCTTCCATGTGGAACCAGCGGTTAAGCATCGAATCAAAACTGGCATACACACAACAAGAATCCTGATGTACATTGAATCAAACTCTTTCCCATTTTAAGGAATATGGTCACCTTCAGATTGCCAAATTATACCACCAGAGACTGTTTTAACCAACGTGCAACCATTTGAAAGAGGAAAAGCCTACTGTGTAGGAAAAATTATGGTTGACTGATCTCCATTTTCTATTGCTATGAGACAGAAGAATTTTCATTTGTTGGGATGATTAAATCAAGGGCTTATTAATGATAACCTACCAAATGGTATCAATTTAATTTGGCTAGTTAGTTGATTGTGCTTGTTCAAATAGGGGACCAATTAGATGGGTTTGACGCCTAACTTAAATGGCTATTAAATCTGAAGTTTGCGACAAGCCAGTCAGTTAACAAAAAATTATAACAAAATGCTAACCAAGTTGTGTGATTTAAAAAAAAAAAAGAAGTTACTTTTTAACCTCAATTGATCATGCAAATTAGGTTCAACATGTTACCAAATCATTCAATTAGTACCCAGTACAGCAAGCAGACTCAACCCTTTCCAGTTCAAGAACTAGTTGAATCGCGAGCTAGTGTGTGTTTTTCCCATTTGTTGGGGGTTCGCTTCGAGGAGTTGTGGTGTGTCTGAAAGGGTTAGGTTGAACGGGTTCATGGGATCCTGTTCGAGCGACATTGCTAATCTTTTTCGATGTGTTAATTCAACTGAGCTAATGTTAGACTGTTTTGTAACAAATCACTTTGATTGGTTAGCCTTTTGTTACGGACCTGTTGTCTACTGACCCAAGAGAGTGATTAATGATGACCAAGGCAGATACGTGCATACACTAACTATACTTTGCCAATCTTCTGCCACAACATTAACTTGGTCGATCATTTTCCATAACTCAGAAAAAATGAGCCAGCAGTTGATTAAGAGAAGGAAACAATTAATCTCCTTCACTGTCACGTGGAAAACCATTCTTCTTTACATTTTTAATCTCTACTTGATTGGCTGATCTTTCAGCAAGTCAAGAGCTTAAACTTATCATATAACAGAGCTAACTCTGGAGTCTGGACCACTTTCTTTCTCTTTAGAAATCTCCTGATGTGAACACAAATGTAGAACAGTTACTTCGTTGATGAATGTTCAAATCAGGAAGGGCTCAACAGTAATAATGAAAGGACAGGGATTGAGCAATGGTCTTTCTGTTCATTAAATACTTTGATAGAAGCCGGTCTGTAACATGTGGCATGAAAGAACCAGCATGTCTAGATTTCTCTTCTTCTCCCCCAACCCCACCACCAAACTCACACTGCAACATATGAATCCTTCATCGTTCTTTTCATTTTCACTACCTAAGACAAATGTCCCAATCGCCACTTGTCATGGATGTAAACGCAAATGGGACTTTTCCAGAAGTTGAATATTCTGGAATATCAGAAATGGGGGTTTTCCAAACTATTGAAGGGCAAGCAGAAGGATGCTTCCTTGCTTAACCTAAACACTTTTGACAAGACAAGTTTGGTGTTTGTCATTTCACTTGCAGAGCTGTTTCCATTCTTCATGTTTTTTCTGTTTCTGTTTCTGTTTCTGTTACTTGTCTTGTATAAAAACAAATCCCACTGGCATAGTTGGAAGTAATCAGCCACACAACAAACCAAATGGCTAAAAAGCTATCAAATTTTGAATCCTTACTCTTTCTACCCATCAAAACCATCATCACCAATATATGCTGCTGCAGACTCAATCTCTTTAGAAAAGTAAGCCCCCTTCAGTACTCAGATTTCTCAAAACAGCCTTCCTCCTTAAGAAACCAAGATTCAGTTCTGATGTTCAACATGGAAGGAACTCTGCTAAAGTCACCTTCGATCTTCCCTTACTTCATGTTGGTAGCTTTCGAAGCTGGGAGTCCATTGAGGGCACTCATCCTTCTCCTTTTGTACCCTTTAATCTGTTCAGTAGGGGGAGAGATGGGGCTCAAAATCATGGTCTTTGTGAGCTTTGTGGGGCTTAAAGCAGGGAGCTTTAGAGTTGGAAGAAGCGTGTTGCCCAAGTTCTTCCTAGAGGATGTTGGTCTCCAAGGGTTTGAGATGGTGATGAGGCATGAGAGGAAAGTTGGGTTTACTAATTTGCCCAGAATCATGGTGGAAGGCTTCATGAAGCATTACTTGGGGATTGAAGCTGTTGTTGGAAGAGAGATGGTGGTGTTTCATGGCTACTTTTCTGGTCTGATGGAAGAAAGGAGGCCATTTGAGCCGAGTTTAAACAGTGAGATCATTGGCTTTGATTGCTTCAACAATTCCCTTGGCCAAAACTTCCAATCTCCCTTCAAGGTTAGGTGATTGATTTCCCTATTCATTTCTTCTCATTCAAGTCCCTATCCCGTGAACTTATTGCATGCCTTTATCCTTGCATAGAGTTGCTTTAAATACAGTTTTACTATACTTATTTTATAGTGCTTATGTAAAATATAGATTTTGACTACTGTATTTCTGAGCATTCCCAGTGGGCTGATGATGTTTGCTTTTCTTGGATATCAGGCACTTCACTTAATCACAGAGGCAGAGAAGAGAACTTGGCAAACACTTCCAAGATCCAAGTACCCAAAACCACTAATCTTCCATGATGGAAGATTAGCATTTAGGCCAACTCCATTAGCATCCTTGACAATGTTCATCTGGCTTCCATTTGGCTTCCTCCTTTTCATCATCAGAACCCTAATAGGAACCTTTCTCCCTTACCAAATCTCAATCCCACTCCTCCATGTCACAGGCATGGGTGGCTTCTTCTCCAAGCCACAATCTTTCCACCCTGACAAGTCGAAAGGAACCCTTTATGTCTGCAACCACAGAACCTTATTCGACCCGTGTTACATCTCAATGTGCACAAACAAGCCCTTGACAGCAGTTACATACAGCTTGAGCAAGTTCTCTGAGTGGATCGCGCCAATTAAGACCACCCGTATCACGAGGAATAAAGACAAAGACATGATGCTGATACAAGAACTTCTGACAAAAACTGACCTTGCAATATGTCCTGAAGGCACAACTTGCAGGGAGCCTTATCTACTGAGGTTTAGTCCTATGTTTGCTGAGGTGGCGAAGGACATTGTTCCTGTGGCGATCGATATGAAGTGCACCATGTTCTATGGAACGACGGCTGGTGGGTGGAAAGGGCTGGACCCTGTGTTTCAGTTGATGAATCCCTATGTTTGGTGTGAACTTAAGATTCTTGAGAAGGTGCCTCACTGTATGGTGTGTGAAACTGGAGGCCAGTCTAGGGTTGAGGTTGCCAACTATGTGCAGTCAGAGATTGGTAAAGCTTTGAACTTTGAGTGCACTAGCATGACCAGGAAGGATAAGTACTTGTTCTTGGCAAATAATGAAGGGTTTGTGACAAGCTGAAATCTTTCTCTGTTGCTTCTTGTCTTTTGTTTTGAAGCTAACTATGTAGTTTGTATGCACTATTTACTATATACATCTTGTTTATTTACCTATTCGAAAGTTCTAATGCACTGTAGTTTTTTTAGTATTAATCTCGAATCAAGAGCGATTGACGTATTTTTACACCACATCCCTATGTTAAACTTTGCATTGTTGAGAAAATTGATCTTCTATTGGACCCGGGGTTGGTCAAGGCACTGTTGCGGGACAAGCTATAGAAGGTATCGCTATCTCAACAAAGACGGGAATCGTTAGGGGGTTTCAAACGGGATGGTTATCGGGGTAATCATTTTAATCGGTAGTATTCGGATAATTTGGATAATTGATTAAGTTTTTTAGCCTGCTTGGTTTAGATGGGTTGATCTGATTTTCATACACTCCTAATCAATCAAACCAATTCACCAAATAAGCAATTAGTCATATATATATAATATATTATATAACCATACTTTGCATAACAACACAAGAGTCAACCGTTCGTCCCTTCTGATGCAGTCTTACTAATTTGTGAGTAATTTATTACACATGTTAGTAAACTTGTCTCATTGCTAGTTGGAGAATTAGTTAACTCATAATCCAACCGCACCCATCCACCACTCACCCAATCCCATCCAAAGAAGTGTGTAGATGAATTGTGAGTCATAATTGTACCAACTCATTAATAAGCGGGTGGTCAGTTTTATACCAAAACCATCCCAAGCCACCAATTCCCCACCCCTATTATTATGATTGGGTAAATGCCACATTTGGTCACTGAGATTACTAAATCATGTTATGTTTAGTCACTAGAAAAAATTAATATCAATTTTGGTCACTCGAATTACTCAAACATGTCACATTTAGTCACTCTCCGTTAGCCTCCGTCCAACTCCGACGGAGGCTAACTGGAGAGTTGAGAGTGACTAAATGTGACATGTTTTAGTAATTCGAGTGACCACAATTGATATTAATTTTTTTTAGTGACTAAACATAACACGTTTTAGTAATTCCAGTGACCAGATGTGACAACCAGAGGTATGTTTAGACAAAATTATCACTAGGCCCGGATATTCTAATCTGACCCAAGCCCAGAAAAAGCTTAAGACCAATCAGAACTTGGGACCAGCCCATTAGTCAAAAACCCTTTCCAATACCATAACCCCCAGTTCTCCCGGATTCAGCCATTGCTTTTCGTTTGTTCACCGAAGGAGGAATTGCGGAAGAGAGTTCGAAAAATGGCTCTTTTGCGAGCAATATTGCAGACGAGAACTCTACAAGCGAATCCGGCACCTGGGTTCTCCCGATTCTACTCCCAGTCCTCCCCTTATCTTGGTAAAGCCAATATCTAATTGATCTTTTTGCTTCTTCCCCTCTTTCCCCGCATTCCCAATCGAATCTCCCAGCCGAATTTTCTCTTGCTTTCTGGAATGAAAGGCGTAGATTGTTTCTGGGTTTTCCTAATTGCAGGGTGATCTGTCGATCATTGGTAATTGGTATGGAAAAACTTATATGGCGGGCTTGAATTGGTTTGTGTTGATGACTTGCTTCGTGATAAAGCTGAGAACTTTGCCTACTTTCAAGTTTTAGGTTTCAAAGAGGGGAAATTGATGGTTTGTTGTTGTTAATTTATGTTGCAGTGAAAGTGGGGATTCCGGAGTTCTTGAATGCAATAGGGAAAGGCGTTGAGAACCATGCGACCAAGCTTGAAAATGAGATTGGAGACTTTCAGAAACTTCTCGTTACTAGGACATTGAAGCTTAAGAAGCTTGGAATCCCTTGTCAACAAGTAAGCAATAGTGCACACTCACTATGTTGAACTCTCACACTTGTCTTGCATTGCTTAACGAACACGAAATCAGATTAGAGCTGTTTTAGCTATTAGCTGGGCTTACGTTTTGAGGGTGTTATTATGTGTGCAGTGTTGAGTGACCTTGAATTCAAGGACTTCGCCTAAGACTCTTCGTTTCGAATTTAGGGTCCTATCTAGAGTATTTGGGGGGGTCTCTATTCCCAGATGAGCTACTGATAGGTTATGGTGCTGCTTTTGCAGAAAACTATAGGAGTCCTATCTAAAGTATTTGGGCGTCTCTATTCCCAGATGATCTATTGATTAGTTACGATGTTTTTTTTGCAGAGGAAGCTGATATTGAACTACGCCCAAAAGTACAGGCTCGGTCTGTGGCGACCCAGAGCAGAACCTGTGAAAGCGAAATGAATCTTTGAAGCAACGATAGCTCGAGGACTGGCATGGCAACATTTGTTTGTTCCTTAGTTGGCGACTGAAGAGAGGTCTTAGTCTAATGATCTATGTAACCTGCGAAATTTCTCAGTTATTGTCCTACCTCATGGTTTGTATTACTTGGCAATTGAGCGAAGTGTGCATAACCCGAGTGTGACAAAACAGTGTTATTGCACATGGCAGAAAGATCTATTGACAATAACATTCCGTAGTTCATATGATGGTCTTTCTTCAGGAGCTGCATTTTCCTCTGTTTTATAGCTTGTTATGTGGATGTTTCAACAATGCATGGATTAATGTATGAGTTCTTTCCTGCTCAATAGCAGACGTTTGCCTTGTTTTGTCACAGGTCAGCCCATCAGGTATTATTCCTCCAGGCTACAGAGCTGTGTTGTCCCAAACAAGTGGAGTATTCTAGTGCTGATTCTGTGGCAAGAGATTGATCAACTCTTAACAGATCGTCAGGCTATAAGACGAAGTGAACTTTCCGCATATTGGAAACGGGATCACAAAGTACAGTTCTGAGTACCAATTTATTGGATGAAGTGTCAACTGTTAAAAACATTCCCCAGTCAGCTGGTAAAATGCAATATACAAATGGGAACATTAGTTTTCTTGGAGGCACTCCCTTTCCTCCTTAAGTTGTCTCTTGCCTTCGAGAGGGCAAAGCAGTCCAAGACTCGGCCTTTTCTACTCCGGTATGCTGCAGCTGTAAACTCTGAAAGTTCACTCCATATACACTGGTGAGGCTGCTGAGGAAGATTGAGCGACATGCATCCATGCAAAATCCAGCTAAGCCAGTTTCAATAATATTTATGTGCTTGGACAGGCCTGGAAATGAGTTATCTGGAGTGTAGGCCTGCAACAGAAACTCTTAACATCATCAATTCGAAGCTTTGAAGCATTTGGTAATGTAATCTCAAACGATAAAGTGTATAAGCAATCAGCAACAGTTAGTTATCCCATGGAAGGAATGGCATCTCAGCAAAAGTTAACAAGAGGATCTTGTTCTTAGAGAAAAAAAGATCACATGGGCAACATCGTTGCAGCAAAATCCTAATCCAAGGGCTCTGGCAAATGTCTGGAAAGGCTAGTGCATGACAATCAAACTAAAAAAAGAATAGCTTCACTGATGAAGTTTTAATCATGGACACAAACGATAACAAAAAGTAGCATTCACTCTTTTACTCACTCTCCTAGCCACCTGAGCCTGAAAAAAGATAACGTCACTCATGGCCACACAGCTCCCTCAAACCCCAGGTACAACTGTATAGAGAGAAGAAGACAAGGACCTATTAGGGGATATTCAACTTAGTTTGCAATCAAATCCTAATCAAACAAGGATTCTTATGAATGTGCACTAGGAAACCAAGTGCATAAATCAATCACAACCTGTGAACAAAATGGAGCTTACAACTCACAAACAGAGATCTCATCACATTCTCCCTTACCTTGCAAGACAATGACAACGAAGAAGACAACGGTGACCACCATAGCAAGAATGTTAGCACCCAACGACGACGACGAAGAGGACTGAGAATTTCTGCTATCCACCCTCTTGCTCCTGAGCGACCTCATACGCTCAATCCTCGCATGTTTGACCTTTGAAAGCTCCGATATCTCCCTAATGTACTTCATATCCGCAGCATCCAGTGCTGGTCCCCTTGGTGGTCGAGGCGGTTTAGGAGGCCGCTTGGATCCCTTCCCCATTCCAAGCCTACTCTTCTCCTTGTCATTGTTCTCATCCGCACCATCACTCCCAATCGAACTAAGCCCTAAACGGCTCGAACTTATAAGCCCTAACCGGTTCCCCAACGAACCACTCCTCAATCTATTAAGCTTCTTCTTGGAATGCCTCTTGTTGCCGCCGTAGCCCCTGAATTCATCATCGTCGGTAAAAATCCCTGCGCCACTTTCCAAATCAAGCATGCTGTTGCTCCTCGGCATGCCTACACTATCCGGATCTCCCTTGTTCATTCTACCAACCCTAGGTAGTCCCAAAACTGCTTCATTTTGGTGTATGTAACAAGATTGGGGGAAAATATTCAACCTAACTGCCAACCAATTCCCTTTTCAAGCTACAAATTCAATAGACCCAGCGAAACTCAGTAAAGATCCGAACTTTACACAACCCGAAATTTACCATCTAAAGAGAAACGCAGAAAATGGGAGGGGTTTCTGGATTTTCTGATTCAAATCGGCGGGCCCATTATCTCCTCTTCCTCCCTGTATGAATCCCCAACCCAAAGAGGGGAAAACAAGAACACGAAAATTAACAAGGCAGGCAGATAAAGCTGCATTACAACAAACACCAACCGAACCCAGATCGGAAGTTTCTGCAGAAATGAAGAATCGAAGCAAGGAAGGGAGAAAACGTTACCCGTGGTTTAGGAGGAGGGGGCGGGGCGGAGAGATTGAGGTGAAACTCTTTGGATTTGAGATCGGGGAAGTAAGGTTTGTAGAGAGTCTGAGGGTGGACGACAAAATCTAGCAACGTACGACCAGAATGTAGAGCTCAAAATGGTTCGACGACATTGCCATCGTTTGTCCCCTTTCTGTCGGGAAAAAACGTACGCTAAAAACAGGAAAATATGGTGAGAGCCTGCCTGAGAGGAAAGAAATGGTGGGGGAATGTCCAAGGTGAAAGAGTTAATTGGGCTTCCAACATTAAACAAATCCATTGGGCCTCGCAGTAAGCACATGGGCCCTGGCACTGCTAAGCCCGCGGGAAATTCGTCCCTCGGGTTTACTCACCTTAACCAGAAGCAAGTTAAGAAAAAAATGTTGCATCGCTTCTCCCTTGCGTACGCCCGTGCGCTTTATCTTTCTTATTTCTGATTATTACCACATCCGTCTTAAATAATATTTGGTCGCTATAGCTCAATTTTCTTGAAATCGGTAATCAGTGTGAAACCCATGCACGAAGAGCCATACGAACTCAAATAAGATTTATCGTCATATTTGCGTCTTCGAGCCTAGTTGCCAATGACTCGAGGGCAGCAACCCTCGTTCTCGTCCATGCACCTTGCATGTAGGCACACAATTTGTGTGGGTGAAGATCGTCCGATGTGGTTGTCAACTATCTCGACTGTCATTGATGAAGAACATTATTACGACGCGCCGTCAGACATATCAGAATTGTCGCGGTGTCGATGACTCTTAGGGAGAGGGTGTGGGCCGGGGGTCCGATGGGCAGGAGAATGTGAGGCAGGCACATGTGGATGGGGCCGGGTTTTAAGGTTGGGTGAGGAAGGGGACAAGGGGCATATATATATATATAGGCCCAAAAAAAGCTGGGCGGAGTGTTTTTGGGCATGCATGTGCCGATGTGCGCCTTTGTCTTGTTTTGCGTTTGCCTATTATCTCGGCTTGGCCTGCCGGCGGAGTAGTGGGACGGCGGCGTGGCATTTGATTCAACATTGAATGGATGTGGGGAAAGGAAATGGGGAAGTAAACGGCCACCAAAAACCAAACCAATCCATCTAATAACTCTCAGTCTCCCTCTCTCCCACATGAGGATCTTGCTAACTTCCAAAACTTGTTCCCCGTTCTCTCTCTCTCTCCTCGCCAAAATCTTTTAGGGCCCGTAATGAATCGATCACCGAACTTTGAGGTGGTATTGGGGACATCACTCTAAGTGTGAAATAACAAATAAAATCGTTATTTATCTTTTACATCGCAGTATCCAATAATTATATAATAGATGAAAAAGCCACATGTATGGTACCTTTGATTTGATATATATATATAGAGTGTCGAGAGTAAAGGATTAGAGCACATTTGAACTTAATCGAGTGAACTTGCCCGAGTTGAAATAAGTCATCACTCACGAAGGCTAATGTGGTTTATGTTGTAATTAGTGATATTTTTAATTTAAGTGCGTTTGAGAAGATAATTTTTATCAAATTTTGGATGAAAATGGCAGTCGACATAGCACTTATTGTTCGTTATTTCAAATTTGAGTCGAGTTAGTTATTTAAAATTGAAGTTTCAGTTACTGCTCTCATACTAAGCCGATGTTTATGATAAAATTTCAAGTTGACCTAACAAAGACAAAAACGAAAACACCATTGCCTGTTTTCCATAATATCAACCTAGCTATATAATGCATTCAAATCCATCAAATACAAAATTTTGATTGATGGTGATTTTCATGGTCAACCTCCTCCTTGAATGGTTGAATAATTGTCAAAGCTGAGTGGATAGGGATGTAACATTGGTTATAGCTGGTTAGAAGAAAAAAAACACACAAAATTGTTGATTAAATAATCTCCAACATTATTCAAAGATTTGTTCTCTATTTTTCTTTCGTAATAAATGAAGTCTTTTGTCTTGTTGTGTAACTGGGCCCAAACCCAGCAAACGCTTTCAAACCAATTGGGCCACCCCCTAATGTAATGTTGGGCCCTCCCCCCTCATATGCCATTTCCCTGTTTGCCATCTCAAATGCGTTTTCTCCAGACTCCATGTGTGCGTGTGTGGTGTATATTTCATTCTCTTCTTTTCTTTCTTTCTGCCTCTTTTTTGTCCTTTGTTCAGTCCCTCCCACCAAACAAAGACTCTTTCTTTCTTCACCAAAAATTTTGTTTGTCAAATGCATTCAAATTGAAATAACCATAAGTTGGTTTTATCAACACATTTATATCTTCAATTCGTCGAGTGTCATAGTAGCATGTTCAATTTTGTATGATTTGCTAGGACAAAGTCTCAATATTAATTATTACATTTGAATGATGTACCGAATTTATTACTATCCAGTCCATTCAATCCCCTCTTCCCGGTTCTTCGACGCCATCGATCGCGCTCACGACCAAGTTTCTTTAATTAGTTATTTTCTAGCTCCATCCGACCCCGACACTTCACCTTGCACAATTCGCTGCCGTCGTGGACTGTTGGTGCATCAACCGCAAGCCCACACGCTTTTCTCAATGAACCCCGCAACTGCTTAGTAACGAGTAAGTGACACATACATTTGTTATGAATGGTTATTAGCTGCTGATTATCGCGACGAATGGTAATGGATGGATTTATTCTTTCCTGCCCGTCCAGTGTAGAAATGAAGAATTCGTCGCTGTGATGGTTCAATAGCTTAATTCTTTCCTTGGTGGAGCAACTTTGTTGTTTAATTAATAATTTTGTGCGCTTGTTGAAATGGAAAGCGAAATCCAAAGTTACCTCGATCACAAGTCAGTAGCTGGGCCTAGGCCAAGCTCGAATCCAAACAAAATGAAAGCCATGAGATTAGATTAGAGATGAGAAGAGAAGCCGATCCCAAGGACAAGGAGGGACACGTGGACTCATGAAAACGAAATCTTCTCCTCCTCAGATCTCTATATATAATATGGCCTAACTCCTTGGAATGGAACCCCACCCAGCTACAGGCCGGCTACAGTTACCTGATCTTTAATCTATTGGATTTTTATTAAAACCCAAGCCAACCCATAGTTATTGACATTGTATATATCCAGTTACATTAATTAATATACATATATAAAGTGAAATAATTTTTTCAGTTCACTAACAATTCTATTTTGTTAGGCTTAAGCCCGTTGGTAATGATGATACGAGAAGAATGGGAGTGGTGAGAAGGGAGTTTTAATTATTTTGGGAACTAGGAGAGAAGAATTGGGGGTAGTGAAAATTATGGGTAGAGACTAGAGAGGGCAACATGCAATCCGTACTCACCACTCCAATCACCATGCAATGATTAGGTTAGTAAATTCCGCTAATATTGTGGATATCAACTTGCTGAGTTTGTAGGGGTGTGCAATGGTGTCCGGATTAGAGTAAACTCATGAGAACATCGGTTTAATAATGAAAAATATTTTAGGATTAAAGTCCAGATCAATGGTGCATTTCGTCAATTTGGTATGATCTAGTTTGGTTCAAAAGTCAATTCAGTTAATTTTTCTTCAGTTTCTATAAAGTTCATAGGATCAAAGTCCGGACCACATTATATTTGATTTCGTGTGATCCGATCCGAGAATTTTTGGTCTCATACGGACCAACCAGTTGCACACTTATACTAATTAGGGTTGGGCTAATTATTTAAGAAAACCAAAACTATTACGTGCTGCTACCATCTTTTTTTATATCTAATTATCATTTTTACTTTTTATTCTAACTATGAATAATGATTGACTGTTAAGAGAAAATTTTATATTGATAATGTAAATAAAAAATTAATCAATTAACGCAAATTCCACAACGTCTCTCACCATCCGCAACGTAGTGCAGATGCTTTTCTAGTAGTTTATTATAGGAAGACATCTTAGTGCATATAAATATGATTAAGTTCAAAGACTGCATTTGTCCCAATAACTAGAATAGTTGAGTGAAAAAAATAAGATTGAACCATACATTATCATTGTAGCTAGAACAAATCTTGAGGATGATACGTACATAATTGGGATGACAACAAAAGCAGGACCCACAGGTTGCTAGAGCCACACTTGCTATTCGAGTTTCTATTGTGGCTTCCGAGTATGCTTTTAGTGTTATACTAACTCCAAGTCTCCAACCCACAAAGGGGAATTTGGCTCCCCAAATAGCCAAATATGGCTTTTTAGCTCACCAGACACCAAACCCAAATTTCACTCCAACCCTACAAAAAGCTAAATTTAGCTTCCCACCTCCCTTTTTCAATTTATTTCAATAAACCATTCTAATTTGACCTCTAATTTTTATATTTCACTTTAATTTTTTCATAGTTCGTTATTACTTTTGAATACAAAATTTTCGATGTATTTTTTTTAAATTCCGAGATATTTTTGTTTCAAAAATTAGTCGTTAAAATATTACCGTTAACTTCGGGACCACTCCAAATATGATCTTTTTTTGTAGCCGTTACTTTTTTGTCATTTTTTTGTCATTTTTTGCACCATATGTCTTTATAAATGACAGTTCTTCATTTTCATCAACTCAACTAAAACTTCTTCCCATTTCTAAAGCAAACACATGCATCATGAGTATCTCAGATATCTCATCGTCTGGAGGAGAAGAAGAAAACGAAGAGTACGAAAGGTTTCACCACCTACGTTTGAGTTTGATCGGTCGGAGGCTGGCTGAAGATTCATCAAGTCGCCATCAAACTACAAGCCGACGTCACATTGATCGTGAGAGGGTCGAATGTAATCGACGTCTTATGAGGGATTACTTCGATCCAAATCCAGTATACAATGCTCACATATTCAGAAGGCGCTATCGGATGCAACCAAGATTATTCCATCGCATTATGGGCGACATTGTGAGGTTTGACCCCTCATTTGCTCTAAGGCGTGATAGCTTTGGTCAATTGTCACTATCTCCAGAGCAGAAGCTTACTGGTGCGATGCGGATGATAGCATATGGTTCTCCAGCTGATAAACTTGACGAGTATGTTCGTATGGGTGAGAGCACCTTGATGAAGGTCTTCAGAAAGTTTTGCAACAAAATTATCAACATGTACGGGGCCACATACCTTCGCGCACCTACTCCTGCTGATTTAAGGATCTTACTCCATAAAGCCTCAAGTATTGGCTTTCCTGGAATGATTGGATCGATTGACTGCATGCATTGGGAATGGAGGAATTGTCCAAGTGGTTGGGCAGGACAATACACCGGCCACATGCATTGGCCAATAATCATTCTGGAGGCGGTGGTCTCCTACAACACATGGATATGGCATGCTTTCTTTGGGACACCTAGATCGAACAATGATATAAATGTTCTGGGGATGTCTCCAGTGTTTGATCGTATTGTCAATGGAAGCGCCCCACATGTACAATTTGAGGTAAATGGTCATGCTTATGATCAATGTTATTATTTGGCTGATGGTATTTATCCCTCATGGTCGACTTTAGTGAAGACCTTCAACAATCCAAGGTCAAACAAAGAGGCTTTGTTTGCTCAACATCAAGAAGCACATCGCAAAGATGTAGAACGGGCATTTGGAATCCTCCAAACAAGATGGGCAATTGTCCGTGGCCCTGCAAGAACTTGGGATGTTGTCACGCTTAACAATATAATGCTGACTTGCATTATATTACACAACATGATAATCGTGGATGAGCAAGTTGATTCTGATGACGAGATGGATGATGACCTTGATTATGAGGTCCATGCACAACCTAAACCAATCAACCGACACCTTTCAACTCTAATTGATTACTTGGCTAGAAATAACAGGCTTCACTCATCTACAACACATCATGCGCTTAGAAATGATTTGGTTGAGCATCTTTGGAATTTGCACGACAATAACTAGCATTGTTTTACATCATGTTGCTTGGTTGTTTGTATTTCAAGTTTCAGTGTGTGATTGTATTTCATGTTGCTTGGTTGTTTGTAATTCAAGTTTCAATAAAGTGTGAAGGGTACTTAGTTCAAACTTTCAATAACACTTGTTTTTATTACACATGGAATTGCTCAAAGTTCAAAGAGTACACATGACACATGAAAACAACAAAGTTGAAAGAGAACACACAACACATGAAAGCAGTAAAGACAATAGAGTACACATAGGACCTTCTTCTAATTAATAATCCATGACAGGATAGTAATCGCCATCTCCTCCAACACTTTCATCTCCATCTCCTCCACCACTTGCATCTCCATCTTCGCCATCACTTGGATAAGAGTTGGGATCATCTTGATCGTACCCATAAATGTCATTTTGTTTACGCCTCCAAAATCTCTTCTTTCTTGGTGTCATCTTTGACAAATCCTTCTCCAGAATAGCCACATTTTGTTGAAGTATTGCAACCTCCCTCTCTTTCTTCTCCACAACCCACTTTTCCGCTTCACGCTCCCTCACTTGCCTCTTGTATGCCCATTCCTCTTTCTCCTGTTCTAGCCACATTCAGCAAATACCTTACCTTTCTTCTTTGCTGCCTTTAGTTTGTCGCGTCCTTCAGAACGAGGCAACACGAAAGGCGTAGCTCCTTCATCTGGTAAGTCATCAAGGCCTTCCACGGGAGATGATTGAGAATCAAAACCTGTGGGAGACCTTTGGGAACCTTTCCCATAGGTGGAATGGGACTAACAAGCAGTTCAGGATTGCAGTACCATTTTGGACAATTTCGAAGAATGTCAAAACAATGCTCAAAAGCAAAATCCTTGTTCCCATTCTCTTGCTTATATATTGCTTGCATCCTTTTCCTAATTAAATAATTAGTACATGGGTTAGAGAAGTTTAGGGTCCAAAAGAATACCACATCAAACTGGTTCGTGCCACTCGATTGATGCCTTTGTGCTCTTTGCAAAACTTCCTTCCAAGCATTGCAGTGATAGCCTATAATCCTCATTGGGGATTCCATTGCAATAGCAGTACGAGTTGTAGTAGGATCCCATTTTTTATGTTCTACCGCCACTCTGTCCCACAACCTTGTAGACTTCTGGTAGGTGCCAACCGCTCCATCTTCTGATATCAACACCCAAGCTTTGCACAAGATTTCATCTTCATTCGGACGCCAATTAGGTCCTCTCTTGCCTACCAGTCGCCCTGGATGACCGCCGACGCCTCCGTACGCCCTCCCATCGCAGTAAGCCGCCGTTCGCCCTCAATTCAGTCTCGGCCTCCTGTCGCAGCCAAGGCGCCGTTCTCCCTGGAATCTGGATGATCGTCGCCTAACTCCCCCGTCGCAGCCAAGCCGCCGTTCGCCCTGGAAGTTTCTAGTTCAATCGCTGCGGCTCATGGGGAGTGAAGATGAGGAGGAAGAAGGAAGTGCGCTCGTCGATAGAGGGGAAAGAGGAAAATCGCCGATTGAGACAAATCATCCAGGTCGACATTGAGACAGATCTAGGAAGACTGATCGGCGCCGAGGAGACTCCCAGTCGCGTCGAAAATGTTTTAGGGATTGGAGCGACGACGACCAGTTACCAGCAGCGGCGGCGACGGTGCGACGACCAGTTACCAAGCAGCAGCGGCAAAGGTGTTAAACCTAGGGCGAAATAATTTTAGGGATTCGGAATTTTTTAGGGCGAAAAGGTCAAATTATCAAATTAGGGCGATAAAAATTAAAAAATTTAGGGCGTTAATTAGTACCTCTCCCTCTCAAAACCCATCCATATATAACTTCCAAAAACCCAATACCCATTTTTAGCTTCCCTTTTTCTTGTGGGTTGGAGGAAGAAAAAAAGCCAAACATGGCTTTATAGCTTTTTGACACCCTGGGTTGGAGCCAGTCTTAGTGGATAGAGATGGCAATCAAATCCATAACCGCGGGTATCCGACCACCTCCGACCCAGTCAACGCGGGGAATCCCCACATTGGTTGGGTATACGTAAAACCCGCAAAGCATTTGATGGTATGAGGTGAGTACGATTTTAGCATCTACATATGGCTTGGAAACAATTGATCGCCTCATGAGTTATGTCACCATTAATGATGATCAAGTTATAGATTCCGCTTCATGTGTTACTCGTGTATTTATAATTCTATGCAATATCTCTTTTCTCAATGTTTTACAGGTGTATTTATAATTCTATGCAATATCTCTTTTCTCAATGTTAGAAATGAATTGATGTGATTTTTATCTCTTCTTTATTTTTGTTGAGACATGTCTAATTCGTTGTTCTTTCTAATTGTGTAAAAATAAAGTTGAAGTTGAGTGGACAGTGAAGCTATAATGACAATTGATAGGTTCTCAAGAAGGAAGAAATATTAGATTTTCATAGGTACCCCAACACAAATCCCACCTCTTGGGGTGGAATTTTCAAGTCTGTGGGGTCCACGAATTTGGACCATAAAAGTATGAGGGCCCCACGGATTTATTCATGCTAAATCCATCATGCAAACGACGGATTGTGTACAAAGTCCATGATGCTTGGTTTTTACGTACCAAATACATGATGAATTCCATGAAACAAACAAGGCCTAAGTTTGTTATCTAGCAAATGATTTTGGGTTGAAAACTAAGAAACCTACAAATGAAAACAAGCAAGTAAAGTAAATCGAGGTTGTCCCCATGAGGGTAGGTCCCAGGTATTGCTCTTCCTAGCTAGCAATTAAGACTTGTTGGATCAAATGGTCGTGTGTGGTGAGGGGGTTGTAAACCGTAGGGAAGTGTAACAAGTAGTCAAGCACCACCCTCTTAGTCTCTAGGTCAAGGGAAGGGGGTGCGATCCAAACCACCGACGTGACTCTCTCGACCTATTGATTAAGGATTGGTTAGACTTTACCCTCGAATCGGAGTTCGGACGACCACCCACAACCAAACCCTAAGTGGTAATATGAAATAAGAGGTTTTCCCTGCATTAACCTAGATAGGAGACAATGAGTTGCCTAAGAAAACCCAGCATTCAAGCCTCTTTCAAAGAAAGAAGAGAGTTTTATCTCTATCTAGGTTAGAATGACAATTAGATTGATAGGCTTTCACACAACACAACACAACACAATCATTCATGAATAATACCTCCACATTCACATTAGACACAACCACACACAAAAAATTCAATCTAAACAAACATTCACATAATTGTAGCTAGGGTTTACAAACACCCAAGTGAATAGGTAGGCTATTCCATATCTAGGCAAAGGAAAACAAGGAAAATGAGAGAAAGAACCATGAAGAGATGGAAATATTTCCTCCTTGTTGCTTGAATCTCCATTAAGAAGAAGAAACCTTCACTCCTCTAGTTTGAAATAGGGGTGTTCAAATGGTTACCGTAGTAATAACCAAATCAATTAAGTCTAAACTTCATTAACCATGAAATAAAATGTCTTAACCAAACCGTTCAAATTAATACGAAAACCAAATTAACCAAATAACATAACATTACATGAAAACAATTATCCTGTTAATGAAGAAAATATAACCACGTGCTGTTACTATCATAAACTATCATTATATATAAGCAATAATAATAAGACTAACCATCCATGATTATCATCATCATTCGAGTTAATACATCATTCATCATCTCTGCACATAATATAGTTAGCTTACAACAAACCCCTTAACATAAATACATACCTATACTAGGGATGACAAATTACTCACCCATGGGTAATTATACCCAAACTCAAGTAGACCCATTGATAATAGGTTGGGTATGGGTGAAGTGCATATGGATTTGAGGGTTTATAGATGGGTTTGGGTAAGGTATGAATATTGTTTTAATAATCTAAATGGGTATGGGTTGGATATGGATATCCATTTACTTGAGGGTATTTTAACTACACGTGCAAAAATTGGACATATTTGTAAAACTTGAAAAGTTTAGTTACCAAAATGAAAGACCAAAAAAATTTAGGTACCAAAACGTAATTTTCCATTGATATTTTGAGGACTTATATGCAAAAAAATAATTAATTTAGGTACTAAATATGCATATCTATTAACTTTGGGTACCAAACTGTAATTTGTATTTGGGCATGGGTACAAACCCAAATCCATTTGATATAAACCCAACTCAACCCATAGTAAATGGGTATGGGTACAAACCCATCAAACTCTACCCATATCCATCTATTTGGATTTCATACCCAACCCAATTGGGTTGGATAGTAAGAAACCCATGGGTATGGGCAAAGTTGCCATCCCTAACCTATACCCCTCATCAGGAAGCTCTCCTACAAAATACCTAAACTATACATAGTATTGTACGTAATCCTAAAGTCTAGTAGCTGTCCAAAATGTTTTGGTTTAGTAAATAGGCAGACCATTTAATTTTTGACCCATAATGTTTTGGTTTGTTGTGCACATGAAAATAAAATAGGGAATCACGAAAGTTTGGTTTGGTTGGTTGCATGTAAGTATAAATAATTTTGTATATTAGGTGTATCATTAATTGGTTAATTGGTTTCATTGGTTAGCATGATCGAAACCAAACCAAACCTGCTAAACCAAATAAGCTAAATTGTTTAACCAACCCAAACCAATTATCGAAATTAACCAAACCAAATAAACCGAATGCCACCGGTTAATATGGTTACCACGGTAACCAATCCGTTTGAACACCCCTAGTTTGAAATGAGCCCAATCTCCTTCTTCCTCCTTTGAATGGCCCTTTCTCTCACTAGAATAGGAAGAAGAAATCCTAATCTCTCACTAGAAAAAGCTCTCCTTCTTCTTCTTCTTCATCAGATCACTTCCTCTTTTATACCCAAATCGAGCTCAGTTCACGGTCTTAGTTCACGGTCGTGAACTGAAAGCCCAGACCGCGAACTGAAGTCGAAACGCGCCGCATCACTAATCCCAGTTCATGGGCAATGGCCTGAGTTCACGGTCTTACGGTCGTGAACTGACTTGGGTCCAGTGAAAGCTGTTTCTGCTCTGGATGCCTGGCTGTTCACGGGTAGCGCCTCTAGTTCACGGTGTAGTGACCGTGAACACATGGCCCAAATCGTGATCTGCTGCTTTTTCCACCGTTTGACTTGATTTTTCGCCCTTTCGTCCAACTTTCGATTCCAAGGTTGGTTCCACCTGCCAAAGTCCTTTATCCCTTGGAATTTTCTCCACTTTTTCGCGCTTTCCCGACCTCCATCGACCCGAAACTCGTCCTCGACCTTCCAACACGTGCTAAGACATGAAATATGACATAACAAACACACCCTAGCGTAAAATAGGTTGGGAGACGATGAAATGCAAAGAAATGAGGGATAAAATGTGTGCATTTACACCCGAATCAAATATGCATTGTTGGTCAAAGTTTATCTTTAATATGAACACTTAGTATTGATAATTTGTGAGTGCTTTTTTTTCCCTAGACAATTATAGTGCAAATTTCATATGATTGTAATTTTCTTTGTAAAATCCATGGGTACTCACGAACACGCGGGTACCTAGTGGGTTGAATTTGCTCTTCCATAACCCATTTGGTATTTTTCTCGGGGGATTTATGGGTGCACTCGTTGGGTTGGGTTTTTGGATTTGACAAAATCATGTCATATCTGACCCATTGTCATCCCTAATACGTACTTGTAGCGGTGAAGCTACGTATAGTATAGTTCAGGAGGGGCTACAACTCTCATCAGCCGAGTTACACGTTTATAAAGTAAAAAATAAATGTGGTATGATGGAGAGGATGGATCGATGATGATCGAATAGAATCCATCGATGGTTCTCGATCTGTTTTGTATTCACCAGACAGAACTCTGATAAAGCAGCAGTTGGGACTGGGAGAATAATAACATTTCTGTGTCCTTTTTTGGGGATTCGCATTCAAGCCCAAATGCCATGCATGCCTCTGCCTCGATCTACTCTCTAGATCTTGTAATTACTTACTTGCTCCCATTCATCGTCAGTCACAGTACCAACACACCACTACTCTTTCTCTGCATGCAACTCGCTGGCTGGCTGGCTGTATTACTGTTCCCTGCCTGCCCTGATGTCGATCTCTCCCCAAGCAAAGCCCATATCCATGCATATGTACAACAACAAACATTTGCAGCATGGAGAATGGTCCCTTTGTCTCTTTCCTTGTCAACCACGCTGGCTGGCTACTGCAAGAAGCACCTATAGGAGGCATGACCTGCCGTACCATTTGTCCGTGGGAGAAGTAAAGACTTGTAAAATGATTGAGAATTCGTTTACCAACTTGAGATTTGGATTTATACGAGAGAGTACGTGTAGTGATACATGAATCCTAAGAGACATGAGAGAATGTGAAAAATGCGTGGTAGATGGATCTCGAGTGACACAATTGAGAATATGATCAATTGAATGTTACATACATGGAGAAGATAAGTTGTATTTATATCCTGCTTTGTATTCAAATCGATTGTTAGGCGTTTTCGAAACATAGCTTTCCAGTCATGATTTTTTTTTTTAATTATAATATGTTAATTATCCATTTTTCCTAACAGGTCAAGGTGTTGGGTAAGTTCAAAATGTATGCTCATGTTCTGTTACACTTTTTATTGCAAGTCTTCTTCAACTAATGCAAGTCACCTCGTTGGCTTAAATTTTGAACAAGTGATCAACTTTTGGGATTGCCAAGATTTGAACCCAT